AGTAATACAGTGTTACCATGGTGACACTGTACTGCTAGGGTGACAAAAAATAAAACATAAATAATAATATATAAAAATAAAATAAAAATTTTAAAATTTTTTTTAAAAATGATCATTTTTGGTTTTAATTTGGGTTATTTTTTTTTTTTACTAAAAAGATAACGGAATAAATGTTGGCCAAGATTTATGATGAAATATTATTTATTTACAAAATTATATAACAAAAACACTTTTTTTCAAAATTTTTTGACTTTTTCATTTACATAGTAAAAAAAATTAAAATCCCAGTGGTGAATAAATACCACCAAAATAAAGCTTTATCTGTCTAAAAAAAATGCTAAAAAATTCATATGGGTACAGTGAGGCATGACCGCGCAATTGTCATTCAAAGTGTGATAGCACTGAAAGCTGAAAATTGGCCTGGACAGGAAGGGGGTAAAAGTGTCCCGGACATGAAGTGGTTAACCGATGCCTGGAAAGCTTCGACATAGAAAGATTTGTCAGTACTCCTGCACCATCCTAGGACAGCCTGGTTCACTTTGTCATCATTGTGTTCACCGTTTCCACAAAAAGATTTGTCTCTTTTGCAATTTCACCACAGGTTATGTGTCTGTTATCAGGATCAGGTGTTCCAAGCACCGAATGATCAAAGGAATGACTGTTCTGGGCTGGGAACCACCATGGCCATGGAACCACCATGGCCGGGATGGTAACTGACAGATGTTTGGCCATCTTTGAAATGTTTACGCTAATAAAATGTCTTACTGCGGCTGAGCGTCTCATCACTGTACTGTGCTTGAAGTGTTCTGTAGATATTCATGGGTTTTACGCCTTCGTTCACAAGAAACTTCATTACCACACGCTGTTTCCATGAACGCACTAACACTTTTGTCTGCTCTTGATTAACGGTCTCTGGACTTGCCCGGAACATGTGTACTGCCTATCAGTAATAGGACACACTTGCCACTTACCTAATATGGCCACATGGCCTTATTTGTCCAGAAAAGCCAATAATAATTATTATTGGCTATATACATTGGCTATATTGGCTGTATATTGGCTGTGGAACCAATAATAATAATAATATAATTAATAATAATATTGCTTTTCTGGCCATGTAAGACCATGTGGCGATATTAGGTCAATGGTGTCACGAAAATCCCACCCTTTGTTATGCGTGGCTGCTGGGCAGGAAATTACCCAGCCACAGCTGACTGGGCTGGTAACCTGCTATATCATGTGACAGCTTCTAAGTTTGGCCCAAATCTTAGCTCATCACTATAGGTGACTACTGCCATTAAAAAAGAATGTAAGGGGAACTCCTAAATTTAACAAGAAGTAAGGAGAAATTGTCAAATGGGGACAGCTATCTAATGGCTGCCATGCGAGCTTCACATCCAATATCTTTTCTGATTGATATAACCGATCTATAGTTGGCAACTCATTTGATTGATATGCCACACACAAGGAAGTGGGTTTTGATCAACAGTTAAAGTGTTACTAAACCCACAACAGTAAAATCAGTCTGTATATGTAGTAAAGCATACTTGTTATACTCGCTGTGGAACTTAAGAGGTTAATCATCTGCACTGTGTAAAAAGGCTGTTTGAACCTGTCTTCTCTGATCCTCCCTTTCTACTTTCCCCTATCTGCTGATAGTACAGAGCTCTAGGAGTCACTCTGCACATGCTCAGTTTAGTGTGTATTGCTAGAGAGTTTTCTTTCTTTTTGGGAGCATATCCATGTTGTGTACTGTGGGAGACCAGATATAAGAATGCAGGATCCTGGGTTTAGTAACACTTTAGGATATGATTGTAACATAAAATCATAAATCATCGATCTCATAATCTCATTAATCAAAATACGATCATATTCATGAACAATGTATCACAGTGTTGCCTATCGATAGAAAATGTTTGATAATTTTCTTACATGGCTGATCAACTCAAAGTCTAAATCGATTGGAAGGGAAGCTATCAGTATTTGCTTTTTCACAGAGTTGATCATTTTGAACGAACCATAGATCAATTGGATTAAAAAAGAAATTGGAGAGCGTATGCCCGCCATAAGAGGGGAATTCCCCTCACTTTGGGAGATTTCTTCTGACGTTCTGTTGTGTCTCTGGAACAAGATGTGAAGAGAAACTTCCCCAATGGTACACGACAGTAAAAAATCAAATAGCCAAGGTTTTACACCCCAGTCACATCAAGCCTGACTTTGAAATTGTGCGACTTACAGTGAAGTCACACGATTTCAAAGTCGAGGGGACATGCCAATTTCAGGTGCGATTTGCAAGACATCTGACACCGATGTCTATGCAAATAGCACCAAATTTAGTACATGTACTACTTTAGAAATCGGTGCTGCTCTGACCAGGTGAGAACCGCACTGATGTGACCGCTGTAATTGTGAACGATAGGGTGCAACTTGGCATGTAATTTGCAAGTCACATGGCATGCAAATCGCATACCAAGTCGCACCCAGTGTGACAGGGGTGTTAACCGTTCTGTATTCATCTAAAGGAGATGTGTGGGATTTGAAAAACCAACACGTAATCACCTCCATGCTGCAGTATCGACGTGATGCTGCAGCTGTCCCTAGTTGGCTCTAATACCAAGAACTCAGCAATCACATAACCACTGATCTCTCAGATCTTGGTCTACTCAGAGTTAAAGGATAAGTTCACCTTTGGGAACATGTTACACCATTTTTTAGGGTGGAACATGTAACATGTTCCCACAGCCTCAATTCACAATAAATTCAAAATCGGTGTCCAGATTTAAAAATCAATAACAAAAAAAATCAAAAAAAATGTTTAAAAAAATATTAAAAAAATCAATAACAAAAAAATTAAAAAAAAAATTAAAATAAATAAATAAAATAAAAATAAATAAAATAACATAAAATAAATAAAAATTAAATACATAAAATAAAAAATAAATAAATATAAAAGTTTAAATAAAATAAATAAAATAAAGTTACAATGGGCGGAGTAAATAGTACCATCACCAATAGGCGGGTTGTAAGGGTGTATCACGTGCCCTGTGCTCTCAGTCAGGGAGTAGATCGCGGATGGACGCGCTTCGCTGTGTTTGTGTCTTCCTGTGTCTGCTGGCTGAGGTGGAGGGTTTTGTGTTTGTGGGATAATCTTGGAGGATTTTTGGCTCATTGGATCATTCTCTTAAAAGGCCTTTGATTACTTATTTAGGGTAAGAGTATACACTCTAGCCACATAGACGTGTTCATATGGGAGTGTTCACGGAGTGCTTCACTATTTCACGTGTTTTCACAATTTCTCACATATTGGTTATTTATGTATATATGGTTTTGACCATTGGATAATACACTATCTAGTTTTTATTTTAGTTTTTGGAGGTATATGGTGGAAATGGACCATATTTTGGGATTATTACACTGAAGAAAAACTTGGGAAGATTCCCCCCCCCCCCCCCACACGACATAGTACGGGGAGACTTCTCCCCGTACTATCTGTCAAATTTGAAATCAGCGTAGCCGTGTGGAGCTCCGCCCACATGGCCGCATCATTCATTCACGGACTTCCATAGCGGCTGTGGACTTGTAGTTTACAATGAACTACCCCGGTGCTGTGGAGCGCCGCGGTAGTTCATTGACGCTTCTTGTCAGAATATCTGCTTGCTCGTACACCTCATACTGCGAGCAGATATTCTGACAGGTCAGCAGGAGACCTGCATGGCGTCAGCGATCTACTGATCACTGGTGCAATGCTTTCCAGGCTTCTGTAGACAAAAATAATAAATGCATTTTTTTACCTGCAAACAAATGTGCATTTATTATTTTTGTCCAAAACATGAACTTATCCTTAAAGTAAAACTATTTTTTTAATTGCAATAAAATTGCACATAACATCCCCCCTAAAAATTTTTTTGAGTCCACCCCACATATATGTACATATGAATGTAAACACACACATTGGGGTGCCTACGCATGAAAAGGAATGCGATACACATTACACAACGCTGTGCACGCCAGAATGAGAGCAATAATTCTAGCATGATTCTTGGTAATACTAAACTGTTTTTTGCGGCGTTTGAAGCGTTGCCTATAGAAAATATATGGTACTGAACAGGGGCGGACTGACAACTCATGGGTCCCCCAGGCAATAGGGGATCATGGGGCCCCTGTGTCCTTGCCCAAACTCAAAAAAGCATATGAAAAATGTACCAGGGGCATCTCATGGGGCCCCCTACTGACCCCGGGCCCTCGGGCAGTGCCCGAGTTTCCAAATGGTCAGTCCGCCCCTAGCACTGAAGTTTGTCACCATTTCATAGGTGCACACAAATGTAAGGTTTGGCATGTTTGGTATCTATTTACACGGTGCAGCCTCACCTTTTATATTTTACCAAACATTTTGCTAATTGCTTGTGTTTGTTTGCCCTAAAATTCACTGTTTTTGCAGTTCTGGGTCGGGGATGCGCTTGAGGTGCACGCACGCCCTACCTGCGCCGCCATTCAAGGTTTCAGCTGTCAAATACCATGTCTCAGGTTGGTGGTTTGTAAACAATACAGTTCTCTCCTCAAATTACCTTTGTGATAATATCGCATGACATTAAAAACTCGGAACTACCGCTATTTTATTCTCTAGGGTGTCTGCTTTCAGAAAATATAGTGTTTGGGGATTTGAAATAATTTTTTAAACGTACAAAAACAGCTATGGCAGTGAAAAGGGGCTAAATGTGTTTTTAGAAATCCTACGTACTCCTCAACCCTATATGTGCAAGGACATCGTTCTGTTATCTCCTCACGCTGCAGTACATGGAAAGTCTGAGCAATCTTCTGTAAAGTGTACAGAACACGAATCCACACCACCTCCTGTGCAATGTACACAACGTGAGCTAAGCGCCCCTCCTCCACAACCCACGTGCTGTGTGCGAGCCACCTACAGGCACCCTCTAGAACAGCACCATAGATATTGCGGCGAGGGATAGAGCGCCGGCGGAGGTACACCATAGAGAGGTTCCTTCCAGCCAGCAGTCGGTAGTATTTCCTGTGTTGGTACAGACGTACTTCCGCCCTTGGTAGCTATGGCTTTGGAAACGGTTCCGAAAGATTTGCGGCATCTGAGAGCCTGTTTGCTGTGTTCCTTGGTGAAGGTGAGAGACGGTCGGGCTCTGTGTGTAGACGGCGGGAGATACATAGACCTGCTGATTATGTATTCCCCCACAGGTATAGAAATCTCTGGGATGGGGAAGGCTGTATATGTGATAGGAGCCCAGGAGGGCCCTGATTCCAGAGCCAGCTAAGGTTGCACCGTACAGAAGGTGGAGGGAACAGTCACAATGGCTTCAGACCGAGGATTCCAGGACCAGAGAACTGGGGGTGGCTACAGGTCACGTGACTGGAGATTTGGGTTAAAAGACATGAAAAGCCCAAAGCTGTTTGTTTGTAGTCCTCTTTGAGGTGTGTGGTGGTGGAGAGGGAACTTAGCCAGTAACCAGAGCAGAGGAACTACTGCAACCAGCATATACCATTAACCATGAGTATAGATGGATGCCAGCATGGAAATAATACAAGGTCTATATTAATAGTATATACATCTAATGTACCAACAGCAAAGAGTCCTGTGGAACTGTTCACATATAATCCCAGTACAGTATATTGCCAAAAGTATTGGGACGCCTGCCTGTACACCCACATGAACTGTAATGGCATCCCAGTCTTAGTCTGTAGGGTTCAATATTGAGTTGGCCCCCCGTCCTTTGCAGCTATAACAGCTTCATCTCTTCTGGGAAGGCTGTCCACAAGGTTTAGGAGTGTGTCTATGGGAATGTTTGACCATTCTTTCAGAAGTGCATTTGTGAGGTCAGGCACTGATGGCGGATGAGAAGGCCTGGCTCGCAGTCTCTGCTCTAATTCATTGCAAAGGTGTTCTGTCGGGTTGAGGTCAGGACTCTGTGCAGGCCAGTCAAGTTCCTCCACCCCAAACTCCCTCATCCATGTCTTTATGGACCTTGCTTTGTGCACTGGTGCACAGTTATGTTGGAACAGGAAGAGGCCATCCCCAAACTGTTCCCACAAAGTTGGGAGCATGAAATTGTCCAGAATGTCTTGTTATGCTGATGCCCTAAGAGATCCCTTCACTGGAACTAAAGGGCCAAGCCCAACCCCTGAAAGATAACCCCCCCCCCCCCCCGTTCCACCAAACTTTACACTTGGCACAATGCAATTAGGCAAGTACCGTACTCCTGGCAACTGCCAAACTCGGACACATCCATCAGCTTTTCAGACAGAGAAGTGTTCTCTGGAGTAACAAATCACACATCTCCACTGCTCTAGAGTCCAGTGGTGGCCTGCTTTACACCACTGCATCCAACGCTTTTTGCATTGCACTTGGTGATGTAAGGCTTGGATGCAGCTGCTCGGCCATGGAAACCCATTCCATGAAGCTCTCTATGCACTGTTGTGTGCTAATCTGAAGGCCACACGAAGTTTGGAGATCTTTAGCTATTGACTCAGAAGACAGTTGGCGACTACTGTGCACTTCAGCATGCGCTGACCTCGCTCTGTCATTTTACATGGACTACCACTTCGTGGCTGAGTTGCTGTTGTTCCCAGTTACTTCCACTTTGTTATAATACCACTAACAGTTGACCGTGGAATATTTAGTAGCAAGGAAATTTCATGGATGGACTTATTGCACAGGTGGCAACCTATCACAGGTACCACGTTTGAATTCACTGAGCTCCTGAGAGCGACCCATTCTTTCACAAATGTTTGTAGAAGCAGTCTGCATGCCTAGGTGCTTGATTTTATACACCTGTGGCCACGGAGGGGATTGGCAATATATATACTGCTCAAAAAGTAAAGGAACACTTTGTTTAAATCACAGTATAGCATCAAGTCAATTAAACTCCTGGGATATTGATCTGGTCAGTTAAGTTGCAGAGGGGGTCAGCTGCTTTTGGTGTTAATGAAATTAACAGGTGCACTAGATGGGCAACAACGAGACAACCCTTAACACAGGAATGGTTTTACAGGTGGAGCTCACTGACATTTTTCCCTGCTCATCTTCTCTATTTTTCACTAGTTTTGCATTTGGCTAGGGTCAGTGTCACTACTGGTAGCATGAGGTGATACCTGGACCCTACAGAGGTTGCACAGGCAGTTCAACTCCTCCAGGATGGCACATCAATATATGCCATTGCCAAAAGGTTTGCTGTGTCTCCTAACACAGTCTCAAGAGCATAGAGGAGTTTCTAGGAGACAGGCAGTTACTGTAGGAGAGCTGGACAGGGCCGTAGAAGGTCCTTAACCCATCACTAGGACCGGTATCTGCTCCTTTGTGCAGGGGGAACAGGATGAGCACTACCAGAGCCCTACAAAATGACCTCCAGCAGGCCACTGGTGTGAATGTCTCTGAGCAAACAAGGGGTTCCTGGCCCCTCCTTCATGTTGGGTGCCCACATAGCAAGCAGCTTGCTATGGGTGCACCTGAGCAGTTGCAGTCCTGAGCCATGGCTCTGCGTGTCCATTTGCACACAGAGCCGTGGCTCGGCCCTGCTCCTTTCCTCTCCTGATTGGGTCACTGGATGTGATTGCCAGGAGCCAATGGCTTCCACTGCTGCCTCATTCAATTAGGAATGAGAGTCCCCGGAGAACCGAGGCTCTTGTGGACATTATTTGGGTGCTGCTGCACACAGGTGGGTTTTTTTTTTTTTTTTTTTCATCTTCATGCATACAATGCATGAAGTTAAAAAAAAAACCTTGAGCCTTTACAACCACATTAATAGGGAAGCCAGCAGGTGAATGTTGCAGTAGAGTTCAGTTGTAGGCCCCTGAGGATCAACATGATGTGGCATCTGTCTTTGTGCCAGAGACCTGAAAACAAGATCTACAGTGATGGGGAGATTCTCCAACTGTTGTCCAACCAGCCTGGAATCCAGCATAAACTGTGGTGTGGGACCAGAATTCATTCAGCCTTTCCACCCTGTATCTTAGTCAGTAGTAGTTTCCAATCTGACATGCAACCAGACCTCTACTAGAAGTGGCCAGTGGATGCCTAAACTGGCTCTAGCCTGTGCTGCTTATTGAGCCCTGAGGTAAAACTAGCTTCAAAATCCCAGACCAGGGGAGACAGGTTTAACTAAAATAACAAAAATTGCATATAAACGCCATTGCAGCACACAGATTCACCAAATTGTATACAGCAAGGAGACCACTACACACATGTACACATGTTGATTTACTAAAACTGGACAGTGCACAATCTGGTGCAGCTCTGCATAGAAACTAATCAGCTTCCAGTGGTTTTTTTTTTTTTTTTTTTTTTATCAAAGCTTAACCACTTGCCCTGCAGAAGATTTACCCCTCTTCCTGAGCAGGCCTTTTTTTGCGTTACTTTAACTGACAATTGCATGGTGATGCTCCGCTACACCCAAATTTAATTTACATCTTTTTTTTTTTTTTTCCCCATGAATAGAACTTTCTTTCGGTGGTATTTGATCGCCTGTGCGTTTATTTTTTGTGCTATAAAAAAAAAAGTGACAATTTTGAGTAATAAAACAATAATTTTTGACTTTTTTGCTATTAAACATGTCTAGTAAAAAATTTTTAAAATCAATTGTCATAAACTTAGACCAAAATGTATTCTGCTACATGTGTTTGTTACAAAAAAAAAATCCCAATTGTGTTTTTTTTTTTTTCTTCCCTAGTAATGGCGGCTATCAGCAACTTATACCAGGATTGCAGCAGCCATTCTGACACTGGGGAAACTGACTTGGTGTCACTGACATCGCCAGTGACACCAATACAGTGATCAGTGCTAGTAAACAGCACTGACACTGTGCTAATAGCACTGGGCAGGAAAGGGTTAACATGTGGGGCGATCAAAGGGTTAACTATGCCATTTTACATAGTGCGCTGTTAGTGCTTCACTGTGAGCACACTGCTTTGTATGGCTGTGCTATGCACAGCCATGCAAAGCACTGTGCAGGAGCTGAGCGGAGAGAACTGTATTGTTTACAAACCACCAACCCGAGACCCGGTGATTGACACCTGAAGCCTTGAATGGCGGCGGGGGTAGGGCGCGCGTGCGCCTCAAGCGCACCCCCGACCCAGACCTGCAAAATCGTGTGTGTGTGTGTGTGTGTGTGTGTGTGTGTGTGTGTGTGTGTGTGATTTTGCACACCCATGCCTCCCCGTAGCAGGGCATCTGTAATGTGAAATCCTAAATTTAAGAAACTGTAAGGGCCATCCTTTTTCTTGCGTGTATACATTTTATTATTTTCTTTTCTAACAGTATGTGGTTTCACTTTTCTTCCAGACCATTGACCAGTTTGAATATGATGGCTGTGACAACTGTGATGCTTACCTGCAGATGAAGGGGAACAGGGAAATGGTGTATGATTGCACTAGCTCCTCATTTGATGGGTATGTCTTTTCATGTGTATTGTTGTCGTGGATCATAAAAAATCAGGCCAACAAGCTGTAATACTGGCATTCTTTTTTTTTTTTTTTTTTTTTTTTTTTTTTTTTTTTTTTTAGGATTGTGGCCATGATGAGCCCTGATGACAGCTGGGTGTCAAAGTGGCAGCGGATCAGTGAGTATTATGATATACACACTAGGGGATATAATTTATAAAGCATTGAATTTGGCAAACCTTCACTGGATGTGTATCTTCTAGGTGCATGTGTTTCAAATTACAGTGATTCACCTGCAGTAACTGTCCCATTCACTGGTTTATAAACATGCCCCTTCTTCTGCTGTTCTACATGTGTTTTTGTATTTTAAATTTAAAACACACCTGGATCCCAAAGCAGATGTTTTTTGTTTTGGGGTGTTGAAACAGCCATCAGAATCAGACCGCAAATACCACTTGCCTCGACCATTCCTTCCCACAGTGCTGCCTGTAGCACATCTCCGTTATCTTCACCTCCTGGTTGTGAAGAACATAACTGCCCTCATTTCTGATGCGTTCTTCTTTTTTTAATTCTCTGCTAATAGTGACCACCAGAAAGTACTCTTGACAGCACTTAAGGGACAAATGTAAAGGTAACTGGCAGTTTATGCTGTGTAGTGTATATAGGTTACTGGGCTCTCTTAGCAAGGCCTTTTTTATTTTTTGTGGGGTTTTTTTTTTGTTTTTTTTAAGGTAGTCTAGTCTAATAAGAAAGTGGAGGTTGTAAATTTTGAGCTTTGAGTCAGGATAGGCAGGATACATTTCTCATACAAAGCTTGCTATAACGGGATTAGAATCTGCCAAGGGTTTTCATGATGTCCATGTGCGTAGGTATGCTTTTATCAAACTGATGTACTTGGACTGTACAATTTCAGTTGTCGTTTGCTTGCTTTGCCTTGTATTGGTGGATTCACATGTTGGCTAATTGATTCCCCATGTTCATCAATGGTTTCACCTATCTTGTACCCATTTCACAAGGATAAGCAACTTCTTCTTTTGGGTCACAGCCTTGCCATTCTCTGTGTGCATCACAAATGTCGGCTCACACTAGGAATTGCGCAGGAATGCACTGTGCTTCCTTTTACAATTCATACGCTGTTCAGTGTGATTTGAGGCCAGTCATTCTAAGGCCATTCACCAAAATTAGTGCATGAAAAATCACTGCAGTCAGATCGCTTGGTACTTCTGTACCCTGTGATCCGATGCCGGCAAACGCGTTGCGTTTGACCTGTATTTGTGGTGTCTTTAACTTAACATTGACAACCACTGCAGATCACAACTGCACTGCATTTTTGAACGCGGTGTGGAACATTTGCAAGGAGTGTGGTTTTCCCACACCTCATTCTGGTATGAACAGGGTCTTCTGAAACAAACCCATCTCTTCTAGCATTGTAAGCTCTGTTATAATTGCTTTCACCTGCCCTTAATCTAATCTCTAATTACCATGTTAGTTTTCACCTGTACTAGACTAATGCAGGTCCTACATGAGTTGAATTCTGAATTAATTTTCTTTAGAAAATTGGACATTTTGTAATTCGATGGTTCCACCATTGATTTCGAAATTTGACCAAACAAGCCTTCCATCATTGATTAGAAATTTATCTTGGGCATATTGGAAATTTTTTGAAAAAACGAAAAAACTCAGATTCGATGGCCACCCAAAAATCGGCCGATGCTGAAGCTCACTAATGATGTGAAATTCGAACGAAAATTCAGAGTTACAATTTTTGAAAGAAAATTCTTTCAGAATTAGACCCATATATGGCCTACATAAGTCCAAGGATTGTGGGATGTGTAGTTTCGTCACAGGTGGTGTCAGTCTTTAGTCTACAGAGAATTCATGCATTAACCTGTGCAGTGCCATGTGGCATGCCTTTTATGTTTCAAAGAAAAGAAACATTGACCAATGGTCACTATACAATACTCCTACTTCTCGACCTCTCTGCGGCTTTTGACACGGTTGATCACCCCCTCCTCCTCAAAAAACTACACTCTCTTGGCCTAAGAGACTCTGCTCCTCCTCCTTTCTATCACAGTGCTCCTTCAGTGTCACCTATAACGCTGCCACTTCCTGTTCACTTCCTCTCTCTGTTGGGTCCCTCAAGGTTCTGTCCTCGGACCCCTTTTCTTCTCCATCTACACCTCCTCCCTTGGCCAATTGACAAACTCTCACGGCTTCAATTGCCATCTCTATGCTGATGACACACAAATCTATCTCTCTACCCTTCACCTCACCCCTTCAGTCTCCACCTGTATCACTAGCCTACTAAGTGACATATAGGATTGGATGTCTCTCCACTTCCTCAAATCAATCTTTCCAAAACTGAGCTCCTAGTATTCCCCCTGGCTCGTGCCCCCCCCCCGACTTCTCCATCAAGATCAACAACACTATCATCAGTCCCACCCTTCATGCCAGGGTACTAGGTGTAATCCTAGACTCCAATCTGTCAGTGATTGGACCTGGGGCTGAAAGGACAAACTCGTGTAGACTTCACCTCCGCAACATCTCCAAGATACGCCCGTTCCTAACCTCGGAAACCACTAAGCAACTCATTTACTCCCTTATTATATCACTCCTTGACTATTGTAACTCCCTTCTCATTTGCCTACCTCATCGCAGGCTATCCCCACTTCTTCAGTCTATCATGAATACTGCTGCCAGACTCCTCTACCTCACTAACCGTTCTGTATCTGCCACCCTTCTCTGCCAATCCCTCCACTGGCTTCCAATTGCCCAACGGATAAAATTCAAAACACTGACGTATAAAGCCTTTCATAACACTGCCCCAAATTACATCACCGATCTTGTCTCTAAATATCACCCAAACCGTACTCTCCGCAAGACCTCCTACTCTCTAACTCCCTTGTCTCCTTCTCTCATGCTCATCTCCAGGATTTCTCCAGGGCTTCCCCCATCCTCTGGAACTCCCTACCCCAATCTATCAGACTATAGCCTACTCTGCTCACTTTTAGGCGCACTCTGAAAACCTATCTCTTCAGGGAAGCCTATCCTGCCCTCAGCTAATACTGGAATCTTCTACTCTTCCAACCACTCCATCCCCCACAGTTATTACCTTTTTTGTACCACTATCCCTTCCCTCTTAGATTGTAAGCTCCAAGGAGCAGGGCCCTCAAATCCCTCTTGTATTGAACTGTATTGTTACTGTGCTGTCTCCCACCATAATGTAAAGAGCTGAGCAAACTGTCAGCGCTATATAAATCCTGTACAATAATAATAATCTGACACTGGAATGTGAAAATTTATTCTACTGTAGACTATCTGTACAGACCAACAAATGACACAGTGAAATTACATGGTCAGTGTACATCCTGGACAGGTAAAATGCAGGTAGGTAGATTTGACCCCTTTCCTGCCCAGGCCAATTTTCACCTTTCAGCGCTGTTGCACTTTAAATGACAATTGCGTGGTCATGCAATGCTGTACCCATATAAAATTTTTATCTTTTTTTCCCCTACCGTCTTTCAGGCCAGCACTCTGAGAGACCTCGGCTCCTCCCCATCTGAGGAAACACCTCCACCTACAATAAAAAAGCTCCACTCCCCTCTGACCTCAGTTCAGGTGTTTCCTCCGGTGGGGAGACACGAGGAGGCGCAGGAGGACGATAGGGGAGCCGAGGGCCGGATAGCCGGCTGTGAGGCCCGACGCAGCCGGGAGTGAAGGCCGGAGTGTCCGGCTGCATATCCTCCCAGGGCAGGCTGCCAGCAGTGAGAGTGCATCCCGGGGGACGGGACAGGGCACTTACCTGCTCTTCGCCCCCCGGCCCCCTCCGGCGAGGGGGGGTGTCGGGGTGGCCGTGGTGAGGTCTGGGGAGGATCGGGGGGAGTTCCGCTCCTTCCCATGCTGGCGGTCTGAGGGCTTTGCCGGGCCGGACGTCGGGAGACGGCGGTTTCCGGCGGAAGGGGCGGGGCTTCGCCCAGGGCCGCGACTTCCGCTTCCGGTCGCGGCCTTCACACACACGGCGGCGCGAAATTTGAATGTGGCGGTGCGGTGCACAGCGGTCTGGGGGACAGACCTGCACCAGGCGACCACCCTCCGGTACGGGATGTCGGAGGCACCGGGACCAGGAGATGCCAGCACCAGCCAGTCGCAGGTAAGGTGCCTCAGTGAGGCCTCCCCTACCTGTGGGCCCCTAGCAGAAGGTAGGGCAAGGGGTCTGTGGTTTTTCAGGCCCTTGTTGCTCTGCCGGGAAGCAGGGGGGGGGGGGTGTTGTTTAGTGTCGGACTGATTGGGCTTCCCCCCCCCCCCCCCCCCCCCCCCCCAACCTTTTTCTTTTGTGTCTTGCAGGGCAAGGCCCGAGCTAAACTTAGGCACCAGGAGCCCAAGCGGAGATGCCCTTCCTGTAAGGAAGTTCTAAAAGAATCTTGGCGAAAGGTTCTTTGTGGCCCATGTATACAGGGGTTGGTGAGGGAGGGAGAAGCCGGAAATTAAACAGGGGGACCTAGCTAGGTCAGTGAAGGAGGTTGGCTACCACCTTCGACTCCTTCAAGTCCCTCATGGAGAGGTTTGCCCTCCCATTACCTACACTTTCCCCCCCCCCCCCCCCTCCCCAGGTGGCTTCGGTGAGTCGTCGGGAAACCCCTTATGACTGGGGAGAACCAGTGGGGGACTCCCCAGTCTGAGGAGGAATCAGCGGGTGAGGGTCCCTCAGAGGAAGGGAGGGGCCCCTCCCGGTATAAGTTGACCCTAGAGGAGGTTGATGAGCTCCTGGGGGCTATATACGAAACCCTGGACATTAAGGAGGAGGTTAAGGCCTTATCTCTCCACGACCAAATGTATCAGGGATTGGAGGAGCACCAGCACAGAATGTTTCCTGTGCATGACATTTTGGTAGACACGATTAAGAAGGAGTGGCAAGACCCGGAAAGGAAACCGTTTCTTCTCAAAAGCGTTGAGGAGGAGGTTTCCGTTTTCGGAAAGACCCGGAGGCGGTCTGGAACAAGAGCCCCAGGCTAGACGCGGCCTTTTCCCAAACAACCAGGAGAACTGACCTAGCGTTTGAGGACATGGGGGTCTTACCGGACTTATTGGACAGAAGGGCAGAGTCTCTCCTTAGGAAGGCCTGGGACTCGACCCTGTACAACCTGAAACCGGCCATGGCTACGACAGTGGTAGCCAGGAACTTAGAGTATTGGCTTACGCAATTACAGGCCCATATTGTGG